GCTGGGAAGGGAAAAGTATCCCTGTGTGCAGGAGCAATGTCATGAGCTACATGGGAGAACGGCTGTTAGGCAGGGCTTGCATGGGAGGCCGCGCTACGTAGCCTCTGGAAAACCCTGCTGGGCAGCGCGGCTGTGGCTGTATGATGTGGCCAGCAAGGACCAAGGCCAACCAGGGATAGTTTAGGAAGGGCTCGTCCTTGGGTAGCAGATATCAGGGACTGACCAGGCTCAGTGCAAATGGATCAAAGCTTTGAAAGTGCCACTGTGTTTGCTAGTGATGTTAGACTGGACTGCAGGACCGACATCCCTGGCTCAATCTTACTGACAAACAGCACGACTGTGCTTTGATCTCTCCAGTTCAGCTTCACTTCCCATGAATATTGGTAGGCATCTGGCATGCTCCACCACATCAGATCCTGCCAGAGTCCTGCTTATGCCTGGACTGGAGCTTCAGCACAGAGAAAACCCCCAGAACCCCAGCTAGATGATACAGGGGAAACCTCCATGTCATATTCCTGCAGCTCCTTTTCACTATGTGCCTTGAAACAGGAATATTTTATTTTAACATCCTGACAGCTCTCTACCAGTGTCTGCACATCCGTGGATCTGCTCCAGTTGAGCTTTGGACCAAACCAGTGCCTGGGTGCAGGGAGTTCCCAGAAAGTAACCTTGACACTTACTCTTTTTGTCCCTGGACACCATCTGGCACGTGATGGGGCAGGGCGACTGGGTGGCATGGCTGTGCTCCTGGTTAGCCCTTTGTCCCGCTCAGCTCATCGAGTCCGTGTGACCTCCAACATTGAGAGACCAAAGCACTCCACGGCTGCTTAGCTGCAGCTTGGCAAAACACTTACAACCCTAAAACTCCTGTTCTGAAGTCACCTCCAAACACCACCAGCCTCAACTTCTACCAGAGCATCTGCTGAGCATCTGGTGGCCTCTGTCCCAGCACATCCCGGACCTTGGTGGAGGCCTGACTCCACAGACGAGGGTCACAGCACCACCTGGCGAAGCTCCAAATCTTAGCTCTGACCTGACAATGAGGAAGTACTGCTGCTCCACTTTCACCTGTGATGCCATTAAAATAAAAACAAAAGGGAGAGAAGAGGAGCAGAACATGCGTGTCAGGGCAGATCTGCAGAGAGCACGCACAGAGCAGGGGGAGCGTGCACAGAGCAGGGGGAGCGTGCAGAGAGCAGGGGGAGCGTGCAGTGTGAGTGCACACAGAACAGCAAGTACGTGCAGAGAGTAAGGCGAGTGTGCACGGTGTAGGGATGCACAAAGCAGCGAGTGTGTGCGCAGAGCAGGATGAGTGTGCACAATGTGAGCGTGCACAGGCTGGTGTGAGCGAGCACAAAGACAGCACAAGCAGAGAGCACGCATGGAGCACTGGGACAGCTCTGTCAGGTCCCAGGTAAGAACAAAACCTGAAAATTTATTCAATGGCTGCAGACATGGCCAGGTTAAATTTTGTCGTGTGACAAGTACTCACGGGTAAGGTGTAAGGAATTAATTAAAGATGCAGATTGGTCCTTTCCCTGAGAGACAGTGAATGTGGAGCTTCCTGTGCCTGGTGTCCTCACCACCAGGCTGCACCTCACCCTGCAAAGGGTTTCTCTCCAACTCTCCTGTTAATACTTATGTTGTTCCAAGACTGCTTTGTTTTGCGTGGACTAATTAAATATATACCACAGTGCAGGGCGGGGGAGGTCTGAGCGCACAGCTGTAGCAGTCCTGCCTTTCCTGAGTGACATCTA